GCTGGATCTCAAAGGAGTACCAGAAATCTTACAGAAGCTCTGTGGTATGACAGGATATTATGCAAAGTTGTGGGACCAGTGTGGGTAACTATTGAGCTCATGGGCATGAAGAACAGACACAAAGTTTAAAAAGGCATTGGTCAAGTGGAGCCCCAATGAGACCTGTGAAATGAGAAGTTCATGCACATCAGGGATATATATTTTACGAGCAATTACAGCATGAGCACAAGTGAACTCCATAGAAATAATACTTGATCATTGATTACACTGCTGCTAAAAATAGTTTTTAGAAGGAATTAATGGCTATAACCATGTGATTATGTCCCTCTTTAAACCTACACACCAAGCTGATATTTTCACCAATTGGATTTCATTGACCTTACATTTTGAATTGTGGTAAGCTCTGAACAATTTTTGTTTAATTTCTTCTTCAATTATCCAGTGACATTTTCCATTATTTTGAGCTGAAGCCTCCATAATAAAACTGCCATGGAGGAGAAAGCTATAATGACCAAATTCACACTCAGTACTTCTTTGTTAGTGAGGATCTGAACTTCCCTACTGACACAAAAACCTGATTTTTCATGTAGTAGGATCCCTGGAGGAAGATTTATTGCTGTCCAACTCATTGAACATTAGAAGTCTAACCGAATTGGTTGTTGGGCTGGCTTTCATGTCTCCCAAGACTGGGAAGCTCTGAATGTTAGTGAACCAATCTACAGAACTCAATACCTAGTCAAACAGAATGCATCAAACAGCTCCAAATATCATCACACAAACCAAAATCTCTAGGATGGTCAAGTAGCACCTGCTAGCTTCTCAACCAGAGGTGCTGACTGCCATAACACCAGAAGTGAAGAAAGAGAAATGTTGGATGTATCATAATTAGGAAGCTCTGGTATCTCATCAGAAGGTGGCTGACGACAGCAAGGCACAGACATCACATGTGTGCCCACCTCTATGAGGACCACTACATCCTGAAGCTAAGGAAGAGAAGACGAAGAAAGGAGACATTTGACTGGAACCACCAGAACCTATGGCAGTAATTTCAGCAGCCAACACCACCAGGAATCAATTGCTGTGCTATGACTTTGATACCTGCACCAGCTACAGTAACATGAATAGTCATGGTGAATGAATATCCATTCACCTCGACAGATAGTTTAGTGTTGTGGAGATCACCCCATTTCCAATGAAATGTTAATTACATCAGTGACAACTGAAGGTTGACCTGCTAACAACATCATCACTATAGTCGTGACTGTGGTACAGATCTAGGTCCTAATGTGGTATTGCCAAGAAATGGAGTCTAAATGGATAGAAGCCTGAAATTCGTATGAAAATGAAGAAGATAATCTGTGTCGGCACTCAATGCCCTCTCTGCACTTAAAAGAAGAGGTCCACTAGCTGGGAAGTGCTTATTCAGACCAAGAGATCATTGGCCCAAGCCAAAATCATTATTAGAGACGTGAAGGTGCCTAATAGAAGATCAACAGCTGCCTTAGAACATCTGTTGTCAGGACTCAATTAGGGTGAGAGGA